ATGCTCATTTCTGGGAAATGAAGAATCGATGTGACCAATGTTCTTGGACAGGCTCACAAAAACTGCTTTGCCGTTGTTTGGCTTCAAGACGCTACAGCTTCCGGTTTACTTTCAAACGTAGCTTGTCACCGATGTGTGCACATTTTGAGCTTGTCGTCTCCTCTTTCATCTATAATGGCTTCAATCAACAAAGCGTATGTAGGAAAAGTCATTAGAATTGCATGACTGTCCATGTCTTATGTTATGTGTTGTTTTGTTTGTGTATTTTGTTCTTTTAGGTTTACTGGTCTGTCAAGCGCTTTGTTACAGCTGCAGCTGTTGTGAAAGCGCGATCTCAATCAAGATGTATCTTATAGTACTCATACAAACTAACACAGCTTGACGAAACAATCTTCTCATGTGCTGGACAAAACCAATTTATTTTGGTTAAAAATATTCACATTTAAAGTGATAAAAATCAAACCTGGACTTTCTTGTGACTGATTGTACAAAAAAGAAGTCTGCCTCGTTTTCAAGACATCTAATGTGCCATGGAACAATCGGTGTGGAATTTGTCTTTTGTAACTGAAAGATTTGAAATGGCAGACGTGTGAATGACTGGTGGGTGACCAGTCCTCGGGGAGACGAAGTTGTAATCATTGGTCCTGAGGCCCAGAGATAAAAAAAACAAACAAACAAAAAAAACAAACTAAAATACAAACACTATCTCTACACAGGTAGAAAAGAAAAAAAAGAAGAAAAAATCTGGGTGTTTTTCTGGACTCTGAGCTCACTTTTATTCCACATATTAAAAATGCAACAAAAAAATCGGTCTTTTGAAGAACATACTTTAAGAACATCGCCAAAGTCCGCCCTTTTCTCTCTCTCTGCCCAACACAGAGACAGCAACGCATGCTTTCATCGCCAATCGAATTGATTACTGTCATGCCTTGCTTTCTGGGTTTGCTTAAAAAAAAAAAAAAAAAAAGCATTTCATGTCTGCATTTACTACGGACTGGAAGGTGGGAGCATATTAGTCCAATTTTCAAATCTCTCCTTGTGTGTTTCGGGATTGATTTGAAAGTAGAATTGCTGATGTTTGAATGTCTTCATGTTCGAGGGCCTTGATATCTCTCCGAACCACTTTTACCGGATGAACCCTCGCGGGCTCTGACATCCTCTGGTATTGGCCTTTTTAATCATTCCAAAAGTCAGGACACACATTCACGGCGAGGGCCCCGTTCCAGTTTTACGGCCCCCGTTTGTGGAAAAGCCTGCCGGAGCGCCTCAGGGCCTCAGAGGCGCTTCATGTTTTAATGAAGACCTATTTAATGTATTTATTTCTTTTATTCATCTTGACTTCTGTTTTAATTTCTTAAAATATTATTCACGTGCTGCACTGAGATCTGCTTTTTTTAGTGCTGCTGCACGGGGGGACTCGGCGGCGATGGCGGCTCCTTGATATGGTTTTTCCGTCCGTGCATGTGATTGAGGTTTTTAACATTTTTTTTTTCTGACAACGGCATTTTACTTTAATAAGTGGACAGTTGTGATGAAAAATATCGGAAAGTAATTGTTGTAAAATTGTAATTTTTTCGCATGTAGACTGGCTCGGGGAGCTCCCGTGCACTTTCAGGGGCGGGGTCGAAGCTGAAGAGCCAGTCCACTGTTCTACGGCCAGGAGAAAAATCACACTGCTCCTCCCTTCATGAATCTGAGATTTGACGTGTCGTCAAACTTTCCTTCCCAGCACCCCGTAGACCCGACCGGCCAGGCTCAAGAGTGCTAGCCCCCCCTGTAATTAGAACACACCCTTGTGTCCCCCTTCTAACCAAGGAGGACCACCAATCCAAAGACGCTGTCCACGATCGGCCATACGAGATTGCAGGGGGTGCGTCAACCAGATATGGGCAAAGACGTGTGACGTGTATTGAAACCAAGGGGTGTTGACCAGTTGACTTTCTAATCATCACAAAGTGGAGAATGCATCAACTACCTTTTGTCAACATTTCAAACGGTCACTCCGATCGCATACTTGTGACCTTTGCATTGATTTATCCCGATCACCATTACGTCAACATTGAAAATGTTGATACTATTCCAAAATCTTTTGATTGAACCGACGTCACTTTCAAATTAATTTTTTCACTTCTCCAGTAAATCATGTGTGAAATGTTATTTTCACAGCCCCAGTGACATTTGAAAAACATTAAAGAAGCTCTGGATTTCAAAGTGATCCATAAAAATGACAGCTGTGTCCTACTATAAAACGTCCAGTGCGGTATTTTGATACTCACTTGAGCCACTTTTTTTGGAATGCTTCATCCACTACAATTAATCTTGAACAGATGTGATGCTGATGCTTACATAGTGGATCCATGATCTATTTTCTGGCTTTGTGTCAGCTTGCATGCACCAGACTCACTTGTACGGGATATCCAAGTATTCCAGTTCATGCCTTCATCACATCTCGGCTAGGATTACTGGAACGCGCTTTTTCATGGCGTCAGCCAATCCTCCATGAAGCATCTCCAGTTGGTCCAAAATGCCGCTGCTTGCCTCTTGACAAATACGAGTAAGAGGGAGCGCATACTGCTCTCTCTACATGTTCGAGTTCTTTTGAAGATCCCATTATTTGTTTTCAAATCTTGAAATGGCCTCGCTCCACCTTACCTCTCTGAGCTCCTCCGCAATTGCCCAGTGCCTCAGGTCTGCGGACCAGACATGATTAGAGGTACCAAGAACTAAGCGGAGGCTCAGAGGGGATGGAGCCTTTTCCGTTGCTCTTTGGAATGACCTCCCAGTGACCGTTTGGCAAGCCCCGTCGCTGCACATCTTTAAAACTCGCTTTAAAACTCATTTTTATTCTCTGGCTTTTTGACTCAGCATGAGACTTGATTTTTAGTTTTATAGTTTTGATACTTTCTACTGTCTTGGTTATTAATTTATTGTTTTATTGCCATATGCTTGACAACCAGCAATATAATTTTTGGAATGGGAGAGTTTTGTAAGCAGAAAGCAGCGGGAGGAAATTATGACGGGATGGGATTGAAGTTTATTATTCATCCATTCATTCATTATCCGAATCGCTTATTGACTACACAGTGGACCGACCGATACGATTGTCTCTGTGTGTGTGTGTGTGTGTGTGTGTGTGTGTGTGTGTGTGTGTGTGTGTGTGTGTTTTCATCCGCTTGATTGTGTAATGCTGGACTTGCTCGCCACTGGGGTACTAAGTAATCTTTTGTACAGTTGTCTTTTCTTTTGAGGCTTGGGCTCTAATGGGGAGTGTTAAGTGTTGCAGCAGAGATGATAGATACCCTGATAGAAAGAAACAGACTTTTAATGCATCAAAAGAAGCAGACTTTTTGTTGGGTAAGGTTCGCTTCCGAGAAATAACTGATTATATATCCATCCATCCATTTTCTGATCCACTTTATCCTCAAAAGGGTCGCGGGGGATGCTGGAGCCTATCCCAGCTTCGGGCAGTAGGCAGGGGACACCCTGAACGGTTTCCAGCCAATCGCAGGGCACACAGAGACGAACAACCATCCGCGCTCACACTCACACCTTGGGACAATTTGGAGTGTTCAATCAGCCTGCCGTGCATGTTTTTGGAAGGTGGGAGGAAACCGGAGTACCCGGAGAAAACCCACGCAGACCCGGGGAGAACATGCAAACTCCACACAGGGAGGTCGGAGCTGGAATTGAACCCGGTACCTCTGCACTGTGAGGTCAACGCACTACCCACTGGACCACCGGGCAGCCTACTGATTATATATGTCATGTATATTTGCGGCGGCAATTTGGGCGACTGGTTAGCACGTTGGCCTTGCAGTGCAGAGGTGCAGAGTTCGATTCCTGCTCCAGGCCTTCCTGTGTGGAGTTTGCATGTTTTCCCCGTGCCTGCGTGGGTTTTCCTTGGGTACTCCAGTTTCCTCCCACATTCCAATAATATGCAAACTCAGTTAATTGAACACTCTAAATTGTCCCTAAGTGTGAATGTGAGCGTGGATGGTTGTACGTCTCTGTGTGCCCTGCGATTGGCTGGCAATCGGTTCAGGGTGTCCCCCGTCTACTGCCCGAATACAGCTGGGATAGGCTCCAGCACGCCCGTTGCGACCCTCGTGAGGATAAACAGATTAGAAAATGGATGGATGGATGGATGGATATAGAACGAAAAAGGGAGCTGAAAACTATGTTATGTAAAGTGACTAACTACAGTATCAGCATGCATGAAAAAAAATGCAGGAATACTATTCAACAGTGCACATTTCAAACAAGCAGGTTATTAACATTTGGAGACAAAAGCTTTGACTGCGTAACGAGACTTGTTTGTCGTTGTAGCCTATTACCATATTTTGTTATTCAGCGCATCGCGTTGCTAAAAACAAATAATGTGGAGAATTTATTGTCACGGGTCTCCATGACTTAAGGTCTAATATGCTCCAAATGATATTCCGCACAATGCCTTGTATCACGGTGGCTATAAGTACAAAATAACACCGTGTTCTTTTTCCGACCGGTGCAAACGGCATTTTTATTCAAATAGCCTTTGGGTACTCACTGTGCAATTATACATCGGGGCATGTTTGATTGAAAACTGATAGAAATAGAAACTTGCATTTATTTATTTTACTGTCCCTTCAAATGAAGCTGCCATTATCATAAAGCCCTAATAGGGAGCAGTCAAGAGAGAGGGAAAAAAAAAAAATCCATTCGATTAATGAGACCAAGCCAGCATATGTCTCGAGGTCTAAAAAGGAACACGCCGACCGATGTAGCAGACAGGATAACATCGATGAAAGAGCGAGAACCCTTCAATCCATGCCGTCTGTCTGCCCATATCTTATTAAATACTCGTCACGGTAATTATTAATCATTCCATCAGGAGTCGGCATCTCCAAGTCTGACCGGACTCGCATGAATACATTCACTGAGAGTGTCTGGAAAAAGTCATTTGCGTCTCTCAGCTATATCGAATGAAAGCGACGAAACAAACTCCCCCCCCTGTGGCTTACCGTCAAACTTTTTATGGCTGGAAACAAACGTCGCTCTCATGTTGTGGCTCCTCTCCTCCACCAACTTCTCAAACTCCATCTTGCTCTGCTGGTTGAGCTTGTCTTCCATGTCGGATGTGCAGCAGGTGTATCCCTGAGGACAGACGCGCAGGTGCTCACCTGAGAGACAAGGAAAAAAAAAAAAGCATTGTTTGTACATTCATCACAACCACTGCAGTCACTTTTTTTTTCAAAGCCCTGCGCTGCGTCTTTGATCACAACACGAGGTTGTGATGTTTTGTTTTTGTTTTTTTTCCGTTCCCTCAGATGAGGACTGTAACAAATTGCCAAGGATGAGTGACCTGCAAGCGCGCATGCATTCTCGGCGGAGAATGACAGCACCGGCAATGGAGTGCAAATGAAAAGCGTTGCATTTCTAAACTGTGGAGCTGGGGGGCAGGGTGTGTGTGTGGGGGCAGGGTGTGGGGGGGTTATTTTTACAATCTTTGGTACGATACAAATTGTTTTGCAGGTGTGACCCAGCAACATTGATCAGCCCAAAAGAAAAAAAAGGGGGCATCAGAAAAATTAAGACCCTCAATAATGGACTACAATGATGTTTCGACTGACTTTCAAGTCACCAAGTTGTCACGTGCACCGGGCCAATGTCAAAGGACACCCGCTCGCATTGCCGAAACGCCCATCTTGACGCAGGGCGGACTTTAAATTCCTTATTGGCAAAAACCGATGTTATCCGTGTTCTTCCATTTAAGAGAGGGTGAGTGTGTAATAAAAGAATAAGGGTGACAAGGATAGATTTCATTTGTAATTTTAGAAGATTGAATAGCGAGGCAATCCTTTCAACAATAATTATCACTCAAGATGGAATATATTCAGATGATCATCATCAAAGTATGAAAATTATTACAGCAATTAAATCAGGAAAATGACAAGAATCCATTTATGGCTTTTCCCCCCCCCTGTGTCTCTCTTTTCATTGTTGTTTTAAAAAAAGAGATTACAGTTCTTCCAATTGGAACCTCACGGCAACAATGGCAAAACTGCAGAAAATCAATATTTCAAGATTTGATCCACCCCAAAAAAACAATTCCAGTGGAAAATGGAAATATAAACGCATCTTCTGGCCAAATCCTGTTCAAGTCCCGATGGCTGGCAGGCCTGTCTGTTCTGTTCTACTTGACTGTGTTGCACCAAAGATGGAATTGGAAAGCAAGCTGTCAATACGAGCAAGCTCACAGTTGCGTATCTGAGTTGAAAACTCCCGTTTGAGGTAGAAGATGAAGCGCTCTCTCTTTTTTTTTTTTTTCATGTCATCATAATGACCAGCTCTTGCAGCGCATGGACAGTTTCTTCATTTTTGAAATGCGGAACCTTCCTCAAAAGCAGAGCCCCTCAAAGTCCCGCCGTTCTATTTTTATGGAAAATAAATGCTTGACATTCCTTTTTGATACTGACAGAGAGGATCGTGTGATTTGAGGTTTTTATTCGTCAGATCGACCGCGATACCGGCGGATAAAAACACAATGAAGAATAGAGGTGGCGCGGGGTGAAAAATAAAGATGACGACTTTGCGGATTTCACTCATGACGGGTTCTTTTTGGAACGTAACCTCCCGCGATAAACGGGGGGATTACTGTAACGCCAGAAAAAAAGTCGCTTGTCGCTTTTTTTTTTTTTTTTTTAAGTCACTAGAGGGGGTCTGAAAACTCGCTAAATATTATGAGAAAGTCGCAAAGTTGGCAACGCTGCTGATCACCAGTTCAAGGGGGTGCGCCTCTTGCTTGTCGTCAGCTGAGATCGGTTTCGCCTCACCCAAATGAGGACAAGGAACGGATGAAGGTTTCATGCAACGGAACGAAATGTACTCCATGAATTATAGCCCTCGATTAATTGTCACCCCGCAGTGCCGTTACAAATTATAATTAGTCGATAGACTTCATGTAATGCGGGCCTATTGCAACTTCTTCTGTCTGTACGGTATATTTTCTGTTCTACGCATGACCTGCTGCTTCAGATGTCTCAGTCCAGTGCAAAATAGGACATGCACACTCCCGCAAGATCGTTCTGATTAATTTGAAGCGCACGTGCGCCGCGTGCTCACGTCGCACGCCCGGCGCACCTGCAGACGGAAAAGTCATTTGCAGAGGAAACGAGCATACTTGCCTTTGATGAGCCATTGTCATGCTCCGCCACGATTTGCCTTCGCTCTTCCAAAGTGATCAGACGTGCTGTGATTGCGCCCTAGACCGCGGCCCCCTTATCCACATGGTCTTTTTCGACTTCACGCTGCAGCGCATGAAATCGGCGGTTGGCTCGGACACGCACGGGCGACCGCGCTCTCGTGATTTCATACAATTGCAATAACCGAGCACCAAGGTCTGTGACAATTTGTCTCCTGGAAAAGTATGCCGACAGCAGTCGGCATTGTGTTACCTGGATTCAAAAGAAATCCCAAATTCCTTTTATTTATTTATTTTTTTACTTTTACATTCCCTTCCGAAATAAATTCAGCACATTGCGCCACGGTTTGAGTGTTGATTGACACTGTCGGGGTGTTTATATTCATTGCTATGACCGTACTGTGCCATGGTGTCGAATGACATGATACAAGTGGTAACAGTTTGGACTGTTTTGGTGACAGAGCGTCGACTGAGTTAACTTCATAAAGGAAGAACTTTTGATGCGCCTCTCGTTTTGGATCATTATCCGTTATGTTGCGGCGTCGCATATAAATTTTTTATGATCCGTGTGAGGACATGCAAGTTCACGGATGATATTCCGCTGAAGAATTCACCCGTCATTAAAAAACCAAATCCCGGTTGATTGGCCAAGAACAGTACGGCGCGGCGTCGACGGGTGAAATGGCAAAGTGGGACGGTGCCCGGAATACAACGGCGGCATCTGTCAAAACGCTTTGCCAAATGGTGACTGTGACCACGTTTCTCACTCTGCACTTGTGTTCATCCAAAGTGGCCCCACACATTTGGTCGCTACAGATTGAATGTGATCTGTCAGTTCTGTATTTGGGTGTTTAAGTTGACAAAAGAACAAGCAGTGGCTGTGTGGGAGGGTGTTCAGTTCAATTTCAATGAGTGAGCATGAAAGACAAACTAGATGGAAGCCTTTCACTTGAGTGACAACGCTGACGGCAGTGTCAATGGATTCAAAGAAGATGGACATGTTATGTCAGGACTGCCGCCTCTGTTTCTCCGCCAGCCGACACAGATTTATCTTTAGCAAAAGCTGTGACGGCGCCACCTACATTTCAGCTGTGTTACACTCTTTACTTAATCCGGAGTCATGTGATTATGAAGCTATTTTTGTTTGATAGTTAAGGCTATTCTAATTCGTGTGTGTGTGTCTCTCTCTCTCTCTCTCTCTCTCTCTCTCTCTCTTTCTCTCTCTCTCTCTCTCTCTCTCTCTCTCTCTCTCGCTCAGCCGTCTTTCGGGCAGTAGGCGGGGGACACCCTGAAACCGGGTGCCAGCCAATCGCAGGGCACATAGAGACGAACAACCATCCACGCTCACACTCACACCTTGGGGACAATTTAGAGTGTCATATTAATTTGCCATGCATGTTTTTGGAATGTGGGAGGAATCCGTAGTACCCGAAGAAAACCCACACGGAGAAAAACCACGCAGGCAACTCCACACAGGAAATGAACCATGCGCCTCTGCACTGTGTGGCCGACGTGCTAAATGGTCGCCCACCGTGCCGCCCACATAGTATATATTTTGTCGAAATGATGAGGCTTTATAAACTCCCGTTAACTAAATATAAGTCATTATGGATTACAAAAATGTGACAAAGGTAGATTGAAACCTTTTTCAACAAAAACCAGACTAGGCAATTTTTTTTATCTTGGATGTCAAACTGGACTAAAACTATTGTATATGGAGATAATGGTGAGTCATCAGAGTTTTAACACTAAAACAAAAACAAAACAGCGAGCACTGATTGTATGAGTGTGTATCCATCAAGAATGTGTTGAAAGTATCTCAAATACTCTTACAAGAAAGAAACTCGATGACCCCATAATGCATGCATTTATTTCAATCACAATCATATGAGTTTAGATTTTGGCAAATAAAAACTAAACAAAATCCTGGAAGCAAATTGAATCGTTCGCCAAATATTGGCAGGTCGGAAAATCAAAGGACTACGGAGGAATAAATCGTTCCTCAGGAATCATGAAACAACTCCCAAAGCTATTATTCTTATTTTATTTGTATTTTTTTTTTAAATCTGAAGTAGGTTTTGAAGCTGAAAGTACAAGCCTTTTACAGATTGAACCACTGCTGCACTTTATATAATCATAAACCGTTTACAAAGTTTGCTGCTGTGACAAGAAAATACAATCATAACAATAACAAAAAGTGGCTTTTATTCCCATGCGTGATAATGGACAGTGTGATTAAGTCCCACAAGGATTCATTAGTCTACCTGGCCAAAGGGCAACAAGCAGATGTTCCTCACCATCTGCTCCGTCCCTTGACCACTCTTGTCTGCATTCATAAAGGGAACATTTTCTGCATGCCAATAATTTTAGCAGACCCTGAGGTCAACCGATAAACCACAATCTAGTTTTAGGCCGCTAAAATTGTTTGTAACAAAAAAAAAAACATTGTAAGGGGGGAAAATAGCCACTTCTAAAGCACTGGTACTGACAACAAAGATAATGATAGATCATGAGTCATTCCGCATTTTATTCATGTTCATTCGTTTCAAACTGTGTTATTCTAAGGCACAACAAATGTAGAATAAATTAAAATGACAAAGTGAACTACTCATAAATGGACCAATAAGGAACAATAAATACTCCTGATAATGTAAACATAATCTTTTTTGAAGTTGTGATCCCACGTACGGCGTTAGCATCATTGCTACTCGCAAAAGATGACACGATGGATTGCTTCTTTCATCCGGTGGCAGCCGGCTCGTTATTAGCGACTAAACCGTTAATGTTTACGCGGGCAGGCAAACTCTTCTTGCATTTTCAGGATTTCCACTTGATCACTTGGGTGCTACTTGTTCAAATAACACAGGTTTCTTGTGTTGCCTCGTTTTTGACGACATAGCACGCACAAAAGCTTCCTCCTCCGCGTCGCGAGGGGAGGAACTTCTCTTGTCCAAATAGCTTCATCTTCGGAAGTCAAGG